TAAGGAATAGGGGTATAAAAGTAGAGAAAAAATCAAGAAAGAGATAAATAAGAAAGTGAAGAACGACAGATAAAGAAATAAGGAATTAAAGATGAAATAAATATAGAAGAAGAGGAAGGTTGGAAATGGACAAGAGGGGTGTTTCCAAGAGACCAGTATAGGAGACCGGCTCAAGGAAGAATGAGCGCTGCGAGTCCGGGCACTACCTTTAGCGCTCTCCCCACTCCCCGGCTCGTTCCACTCGCAGATTCCTGCGCGACAGATTTGCGCGCACATTATTTTAGGCAACTTCTAGTACTTCTAAATATGCTTGGCCAAAATTTCTGATCTCTAAGTGTTAATATTTTGCATTATTGATTTAATCATTCTAATATTCCAAATACTTAATTTTTTAAAATTTAATCTGCGTGTAATTTATTTTCGATATTTGACGATTTCTATTTAATTTTTTTCTACTTCGTATATTCTGCGAGATTTTGAAGTAACCTCAATTTTATATTTTGAATAAATTTTGAAAGTAAGTCAAGATCCAATGATATTTACAAAGTGTTTGTATAGCTTTATTCAATGTTTCGAATTTTCAATATTTCCGTCTGTTCTTGCTTCGAAAAAATTTGTGTTCCACGCCCCCTGACGGATTATTTCGGAACTAAGGTTCAGTCTAGACGACTAGGTGAGTGGGTGATTTTGTCAGGGAAGACAGGTACAATTTTAAGAGACGGCTTTGATTAGGACGATAGGGAAGATTTGGACTCTTACGTGTGCTCCAGTTCTTCTACTCAGCCATCAAGGATACGCGGACGGTTATAATAAGGCGAGGCACACGCTAAGTGCTTATCAGTAATTTTATTATCAATTAATACATCTTACAACACAAATTTGTTCTCTTACCCTTACAAGTCTGCTCCAAACTTTTCAATTTGTTCAATTGCAAAGTTCATTGCTGAATGAGATGCTGGAGGCTGGCAAGTAACTACCATGCGTAAAAAGTTTCCATAACTTTTAAAGCCTAATGGCGTGTAGCCGATCATAATAGAGCCATCCAGAATCATTTTCTCTTTGATTTTCGGCGCAATTGTGTGCAACTTCTTTTTCCATTCTTCTGTTTCCTCAAGCCCCCTCATGCTAGGTGGAATGTACCTGTACATCATGTAGGATTATTAGGTACGTTAATAACATTAGAATTAAATTTTCATACTGATTACTTACCAAAAGCAAACAACATTGCCTTCAAATTTTGGTAAAACTAATCGAAAGCCTTTTCTATTTTTAATTTTATTAAAAAAATACTCAGCCGTTTCCATAGCCTTATTTATCAAAGATTCAAATCCTTTGCTTCCTCGAGCTTTCCACATTAGCCAAAATTTTGCAGCATCCACCTTCAAGTTTCATTTCTCATTATTTAATACTAAAAACAACAATGGAAACACAGAACAAGCATAAAGTACCTTTCTTCCACATTGGACACTCTTATCGCCAGTATCCCAAGATACGTCATAAAATTTATCTTGCTGAAAGAGATACGTAGCACCTGCGCTATTAGCTTTGTGAAGAATGTCTTTACCCTTAACTAAAAACAAAGAGCATTGAAACGGCGCACCAAGCGTCTTGTGTGGATTCCAGGCCACAGAATTGGTTCTGAAGCAGAAGCGAATATCTCAGAGAGAACAAGCAAAATTACAAGGCATGACCAACATATTTTTTTTCCTTCAACAAATTGATACTCACAATGCAATCCCTTCGAGTCGAGTCCTATATTTTCTAGAAAGCAACAAAGTCCCACCGAGGCACATCTGAAATATATATTTGTTTTTTTAGAATCAAAGAGAACAATTTTGGATTTCCTTAGGTCATACTTATACAAACGTCAACGTGTAACCAGAGTCCTTCTGCTTTGCAAATGGCTGATATTTCCGGAAGTGGATCAAATGATCCCAAAACAGTTGTGCCTGCAGTTGCATTTACAAAAAATGGCAGACGACCATTCTCACGACTTTTTGCTATAGCCTTTTTTAGCTCCTGCGGATCCATACGACCCCATTCGTCTGTTTTGACCTGTTACAATAATAGCCATTAAAGAGAATACAAAAAGTAAATCTAAATTCAATTTTACTCATGTGACATGTACCTGATAAATGCTCTCTGTCCCCAATCCCAGCCAATGGGCACCTTTGGTAATCGAGTAATGACCAGCTTCACTGGTAAAGCAGGCTAACGGTTGAATTCCAAATAGTCCTTTAGTCTTGACATCCGGTTTGACGGCGTACCGTGCCAAAACCATGCCATACATATTTGACATACTTCCGCCAGGACAAAAAATTCCGTCTCCTTCAGGAACTTTCGGAAAGCCAATCAGTTCCAACGAGCGTTCGATCACTTCTCTTTCCAACAACGTAAAGACAGGAGCCACCTCGTACGTGTACCTGGTGTCAATGAGTAAATAGAATTTTTCAGCATCAACAACAAAGAGACTAATCTATAAAATATCTTTACTCACTGACTAGTGTTGAGAGCCTCCGTCAACCAAGCACCTGCAATTCCATATTCGTCAACTGCTCCATAAAGTTGATTATGAAAATGAGGACTTGACGTCTTTACGGAGTATCTGACAATTGATTGTAAAATTTTTTCAATTTCCTTCAAACTCGTTCCCTCATCTTTCAAGCGAATTGGTAATTGTTCCTGAGGATAACAAATTGATATTAAAAAACAATGATAAGGAAGCGATAGTGAATTTTTTTTTCAACGTCTTATATTGATAACGACAACGACAGGTGTCAGCAAGTGTGAATAATGATTTATGTAAATCATTCATGAAAAGCGCTACTTTTGGTGCCTCCAAAGTGTAGCGTAAGTGGCACTTTGTAACTAAGGATGCAATAAAAATACTGCGCATGCGCAAATCGGCCCAATTTTACTTCATCGCAATAGTATTTTGCGATACGAGTGCGAGATACTCGACTTCGGCTCGTGCCGCTGTTACTTGTGCGGTTGGTGCAACCAACTTCATCGCCTGCCTAAAAAGTTTGCTTTGTTGCACCAGTATCGCATAATATTTTCTGTAACGAATGCATGAGAAGTGCTGCTTTTCGTGACTCCAAAGTGGAGGCGTGTGGTGACAGCATGCGAGAACAAATCACTACGCATCGCAAGAAGTGTACGCGAGAAGAAAGCACTAGTACGAGAAGTAAAATTGGGCTGATATGCGCATGCGCAACATTTTTATTGTATCCTTAGTTACAAACCGCCATTTACGCCAGACTTTGGAGGCACGAGAAGTAGCACTTTTCATGCATGAGTTACATAAAGTACTATTATAGTTATGAACAGTATAATACAGTTTAACGAAGATCAATTAAAAAGCAATTTAATTAAACTGAATCAAAGTCATACAAACGCAACAGACGTGATTAACATGACTGGTGTCAGACTAATGAGACCTGACGTGTATCGATGAATATTTTATTTCAAGTAATTCCACTGATCGCTGTGCATTGGAATAATATGCAGCAGATAATTAATCATTTTAGTACGGTCAATAAATATTCACTGAATTTTTAATTGACAAGTCATATCTCAGCGCTCGTGATTATATGTATCAAAGTGCAATCGTGTTGTTGACCCTTGCAGAATGCAGTTTTCTTATGCCCTATCACGTATCGAGTGCATGTGCAATGTAACTTTCGCTTAAAAGACCAATGGCAATTCTTAATATGGAAATACGAGTTGGAGAAATATTAAAATTAAATTTTCTATAGAATTCTAGATCAATGAATGATATAAAATTACTACAATCGCAATAATAATTGAAAATTATCGATACAATCGGTTTCATAATATTTTTCCAATTGTAATATTGAGAAATAATTGAATAATCAATGTTGCTGACTTTTACCTCGAGTTCGGGCGGATGTAAGAATTGCACTACGGGATTCTTATCGGTCGTAACAAAAACATCTTCCTCTTTAAGGATCTTCAGGAGGCTCTCCAGAATCTCATATACGTGAGAGCGATTGCACGCAGCCATTTCCAAGAACGGTTCAACAAGAACTGAACGCTCGAAGTTCGTGAGATTCAATCCTCCCTCCCTGCCCTCCTATTCCGGTTTCACCCAACAGTGCCGTACGTATATCTAACTGTATACTCGGTGCGCAGTCCCATAAATAGAGACAGTTTGTGCGTATTTCGTTTATACCAAAAGTTTGGGTACACACTCGTGGAATTTATAAGGTGAGAGAAGCGTTCCAAAAGATTGAGTGATAACGACATACCGGGTGATACCAAATGATTATACTCAATCCCTTGTTATCGTTAGATTACAACTATTAAAAATATCTAGACTAATAGAGCGAGTAATTAAAATTATAATTATAATTTAAAAAGTTGATTAAATTGAAACGAAAACTAATTCAATAATAATAAGCGTTGATGACAATTCATTGAAATTTTATAAAAATTCAAAAATTTTACCATTAGGGATGCTTATCAATAGTCATTTAGAAAATCTTATATCTAGTACCGTAAATAGACGTAATTAGCGGATAGTCATTAAAATGGTCGGTGACATTTGAATCGTTGGAATTTTGTTATCGACGTACCTGAAACAATTGTTGAACGTTAATACGTGCAAGTGGAATACTTGATTGAAAGATAAGAAATTTCACGACTCACGGAGTAGGATGCAATCGTAGTGATAGTATCCAGTGGCAGTCGAGGAACCAATCCCTGCATCGATGCCCATTGGCCTTCGCATAGTTCGTGAAAAGATAACTGAATCAAAAGTTTTCCACCGAGTGTTCCCGGGCCGCGACAGACGGCGCCACCGCCGAATTCCCAGAAGTTGGAATCGCCCTCGAGACTCGTAGTCGCGTCTTCTATAGCGACGTGAAGATTTTTAAGGTGTGCGAGGTAACGTTTGCGAAGCCACATGGCAAGGTACGCCGCACCGCAGTCGCAGTGCCACGGATTTCGTGCAAGACGCAATTGTTGAATGTCAATCATAGCGTCGAGTATTCGTGCTGGTAGGTATGACAGGTAATTAGACTCGAGATGCCTGTGAATATGAAATAATTAATTATTAATTGCAATAGTGACAGTCTGTATATATTTAGAATGCAACTATTAATAGTAGAAATAAATTTGTAGTGCGAATAATGCAAATCTGGTATTAAGATTAAATTATTTTGATACTTACAATTTCTTCAAATTTGGAGTATCCATGAAAACGTCAGGATGCAAAACTCTTAAATGATTTGCATGGAGAAATAAGGTTGTCAGGTTTGACAATCCTTGAAAATCATTATTCGACAAAGTCTCTATTCCGTTTGCATAGAGGATCAATCGCTCCAACGATGGTACCGATTGAAAGAGACCTTGAGGTATCTTTTTTATATGATTCTGTCCAAGTTGCAATTCCTTAAGAGACGTAAGACCCTGTAAGGCGGCTGGATCGATCTGTCAAAATGAATAATCTTAAATAAAAAAATTTCTTTACCGTTAGAAACGGAACTCTAAAAAATCTTACTCGAGCGATACGATTGGTCGACAGTTCCAGGATCTCTAATTTTGACAGTGACATCATCAGTCCAGATTCAATCACTGTGAGACGATTGTCACGCAGATTGAGATCCTGAAGATTTATCTGATCCTGAAAGAGACTCGATGGCAATGCTTGAAGATGATTTTCATCTAATCGTAATGACCTCAAATTGTAGAGCTCGTCGAAGATTTTTAATGGCAATGACGTCAAGTGATTTTTTCCAAGTAGAAGTTCCTCGAGATTACGTAGACCTTTATTAATTATGAAAATCATAAACATATTGTCATTTATAAGATTGTTTGATAATTTTTAACTTTTCATTTACAAACCTAAAAAAATTCCTGATGTTAAAGTTGAAATTCTGTTGGACGTGAGATCCAGTACGACTAGGGCGCCATTGGTTAGAAATAGTCCTTCCGGAAGAGTGCGTAGCTTATTGAATGAAATATCGCTGAAAAATAAAAAATTTCATTTACCACAGGTTCTTAGGTACTTATTATTTTTATTCAACACGAAACTCACACGATGTGAAGATGCCGCATACGCAGAAATTGATTCTGATGTAATTCGCGAAGAAGATTTTTGCTGAGTTTGAGATGGGTCAGACTGTGCAGCGAGAAGAATAAACTGAGAGGCAGATGTTCAATGAAATTGTTGCTAAGATCCCTATAAAATTTTAAGAACAATGATAGTAAAAATTTAATTAATTAATTAATAGAAAATAGTAATATCATATAGACTCACAAGTAAGTAAGATGAATCAAATCCAAAAAAGTATCCCTGTGTATCGCAGTCATCTGATTGCTTCCCAGATCCCTGAAATTAATTTATAACATTTAAATATTAATCAACGTTAAATAATCGGTATAACAATGCATTATGTATATTTTATTATTATCATATTATTATTATACAAAAATCCTGAAACCTACTCTTTAGCGAGTAACCAATGCATAGAATTTACGTACAATTTTAAGACATCCTCAGGTACTAATTGCGTAGGTGGAATGTCCATCAAGCCGAATCTCCAACAAGACAAAGACTTTGTTTCAGGAATACAGCGACAGGGTCCTTCGGCACAAATTTCCCAATCGCCAAGTCGTCCTCTGATTTGCCAGACTGATAACAACAATGATAACGGATTAATTATGATTTAACAGAGCATACAATGTATTTCGATACAACCGATGTTCTGTACAATTTACAATGAGGTTATATAATGATCCGAACAATGATGTAGGTACGTATACAAATTTTATTGTTTACCTGGCTGTTCAATTGCTCTCAGTCTTCTTTCTAATCCTGAAATTCTGCTTTGCACGTCCTCTAAATTAGTTTCGGTTCCGATAACGTGTTTCATTCCAGCATCAAAACACGCGCTCAAAAATTCTGGACACAAGGTACAACAAGAGATCGATAACAAACATAGAAAAAATATAATCCGAGGGGTAAAATACATGGCGATGGCTTTCGGACGAAAATTATCAAGACTGATCCGTACTAAGTGCACGTTGTGCCCGACTAACCATGGACCAGTCGCATCCTCATTGAAACGGTTATTAATTTGATAATTATTGTTATGACAGGAACAAACGATGATGGGTTCATAATGGAGATTGAGGTCCGATTACACAGATTCATATTGTCATATTGAATATACGTACGTTTCAACAATATTTGTACTTTCTTGTATTATAGTTTGTTACGCACCATACAATAATTTGCGATAAGAATTTTTGCTATAATATTTAACTTTGTATCATCGATGATAAAAAATTCTTTATTTGGTACTTTGGTACGAACGGTAAACGCATGTTGAAGGAAATTGAAAAATGTCCATCACCTAATTATGATTTGTTGTTTATTGTAATTTTTGGGAATGCTTTCTGACAATAAAAAAAAGAAGCAGAAAACCTTCACCGATTATAAAATTTAATTGACAAAATTGTAAACAGTAGCCAAAGAACATTTCAGTATCACAATTTGTATATACAAACACAAAATTCCAGTACTACCTTGTACAATGTTTGTATATTGTACGATTTGATGGAAATCAAGAAAAATTTAATTGCTCATTAATATCTTGGTATTTCTTCAATTTCCCAAACACCTATTTCAAATATATGGATGAATAATTAGCGAAATTTATATATTCAATATATATTTATATTACATATTAATGTTCGCGGTATATATTAACAATTGTGTTGTAAACCACACATATAGAAAGCTAATTGTACGATAGTATTATGTAGGATCCGTTGACAGAATCGAGAGTCCATTCACATTCCTGTTGTTGTCCTTGGGAAGTGCTAATCGAATGTTTACGAGAGTCTGACGCCACCAGATCCAGGACACTCACCCTTGCTCTTAACAACCCATTCTGGAAAAAGAAAAAAAAAACAAAAATTACACAATTGCTAATAGGTCGCTGATTAGAAAATTAGTGCAGTTGCATGTCACAATGAGCCTCAATTCTAAAGTTGAAGTTAAATACAAAATTGTCCAATCACAAAAGGGAAGCGAGCATTATATAGAATTACATTGAATTGCAATTGTTTCTTAAGTAGCAATGATACAAGAAATTGAACAAAAAAACATTTTTTGCTTTTCTCATCTCAACTTACTGGAACCATTTTCGCAATTGGCAACGTCAAGAGCGCATTGACCGATAAAGGTTCTTGGCTTGAAGTTGGGATTAGCTGGATCGTGAACGCAGATTGGTTGTTCCAGAGAGGGATTACATTGTTTGGCACATTCCTTCTTGTTCTTTTTGGCATCCTTTATCGCATCCTTCACGTCTTTCGAGGCGGTGGTAGGATCCTTCGTGTCCTTCGCAGCTCCAGTTGAAGTTTTGACGTCTTTCGCGGCCATTGCTGGATCCTTGACATCTTTTGCTTGCTTCTCAGCAGGCATTGCGTACACAGTGGCAAGGCAAACGGCTGCCAGTGCTACGTGAAAAAAAAAATAAAGAAAATACATTATCAAGTGACAATACGGAATCTGAAGTCAATGCTCTTAATTCAAATTTTTTTTCTTTATTTATTGAAATTCGAGTCTTCGTACGTTTTTCAATAGAGAATCAGATCGAATACGCTGAAATCTTTGAATTGTCATAAATGCAAAAAAAATTTTGTTATTTCTCACTTTCTTGATTAATTTATATTCTTTCCTCGAATAGTCACCGACTCGCAAAAATTAACATACACCCTGTTAGTCATTCTCGGAAACTTTTGGTGAAAAAAAAATGATAAAAAGGGAAAAAAGGAAATTTAACGGTTTCGTATTACAATAATAGATAGTTACGTGTCCCAGGAATATTCTTGCTTTCGTAATGGTATCGTGCCGTAAGGCCGAGCAACAACATACAAATTGTATAACTATACAAGTTTATAGTCGTACAATATACAACCCATCGTTTTCAGGTTCAACCGTCACACATTATAATCCCTGCAAAATTCACAAGAGCCTCAAGCGCGTACGTTGCGACCTTAATTCAAGGTTTTATTGAATGATTGCCACTCGTAGCAAATTCGTCTTTACTGCCCACAGTCATATGTTTGCAACATGCCGGTTATTCATTCGTGCATTAATTCCACAATGAGCGAGAGTTTACGCATCGATAAATACAGCGGGGTCCTAGTCTTGTCATCCTTTTTTTTTTAATTTCTACGAACTTCCGGACATCGACGCCAACCTATGGTTAATAAATTGCTTGACTGTCACGGGGCATAGAAAAAAAAGTCACAACGATACAATCGCTCCAAAATACATAAAACATCATGACAAACAATACAACGGAACTTGCACGCATTTCATTAGCAACTTTCGTTCGCGATCAGAAAATCCAAGCAGAAAAAATTGTTTAAATACAAAAAGTGTAAAATCAAACGTATTTACGTAAACGTAATTACGTATAATACAAATGCAAGTGTCAATTAAATTGTATTACGTGACAAACAATACAAAATTTGTATAAATAAAAAGTAATTAATTAAATAACGGTGTTACGTAAGATCAAGGTCGATTAAAGAGTAATGCAATATAAAAAAACTCACCCAAAACAATAGCCAGCTTCATTGTGATATATTTTTATAAACAAAAAAAAATTTGTAAAATTATGTCGATCACGCGGATAGTTATTCGATTGCAAACGGAAGATGACTGGATTCTGTGAAGCTATCCGATCGCGTTTATACTGAATCGCCAGTACCCCCACCGCTCCCACCAAGAATCACAACGTGCAGCTCAGTTCAAACCGGTAAATTATACTCTCGACTTCGTAGTCAGTTTTTCGACCTCGAATCGAATTAAAAAAAGAATTATCCATTTGATCGGATCACACACTTCAAAGTGACACCGACCCTCGGAGCGTTTAATTTTTCGCATCGTTAGAAGATTGATGAATGAAAATCTGTTTTACGATCACCCTAAATACTAGTTGATTGGTCCACTTTGAATTTATCTAATCAAAGTGTTGTTTCCCGTGGGTTTTACCTTTCGATTTACCACTCCCGTACCTTCCCCCAATACAATTTATTCCTCCCCCCTACCACCCCCCGCCCATCCCATAAGTGCCTATCCTCGTTCCGCTTACCTCCTCTCCGACCACTTTTCTATCGCTGATGACCTAACAATCTGCTGGTCCATTCATCGGGATGAGACTGGATTGAATCACGCCATGGAAACGTACGAGTCAAAAAGAGGTCTGCAAACTACGAGACAAATCTGGAGCAAATCGTGACTGATAACGACTGACATGAGTGCGCGTTAGTCAGAAAGGTAAACGGGCGGTAATATTTAGGTGGTGGTAAACGTTCGGAACAAACATTTTTGACATGACACAATGATGATAATTAATTCAGTCAATGAGAATCATTAGTGAGTCTATAAAGTTTGTGACTGAAAATTCATAAATTAAGAATAAATGAGCATTGTGATATGAGATACAAAAATCAATAGGTGCTATACATGTTAATTGGACACGTGCAAAATTATTGTGATACTTGTACAAGAACAACAGAAATTTATGAAATACAATATTGCTGAAATTTTTTGGGTGAACAGGAAGTGGAAAGGACTGACAAAATTTTTGATCGTTGATAAAATCGCAATTGCGAATTTGTGATTTTTTTAATACACATGACTATGAAAGATGACACTTTTGTCTGATACATTTTTTGATAATTTACTTTATGTTTTTTGTTGACCTATAGCCACTTACTAATTGTTTATTGATTTTCTAACACCTTGTGCGCTGTTGCGCAATCATCTGCTAGTTTCAACCGATTGGCGGCGTAGTATGTGTGAATGATTTTTTGTATTCTTTTTTTTTTTTAATGCAAAGGAAAAATAGATCTCTGATACCACATATGCGTAAATAGATCACATGTGCCTATGCTACGGCGACCTTGACAATTATTTTCAATTGGAAATACTGTCCTGTCCTTTCCAGTTTCTTATCCACCAATCAACTACTATCCGTTTCATTATGCAACTATATTAGTCACTGCATAATTCACATCCTTCGTATTCTTGTTGCGTATTATCTGACTTTCAGCATTGACAGAAACGAGTATAGGCAGCGGAAAAGTTACCGTTTTTTGGTAATACAAGATCCATCTGAGTGTATTGTATTTGTTTTGACGCAAGATACGATTTTTTTTGTCAATCATATTTTCTTTATTGTTTACACTGTCGTTTGAACAGGTAATGGAAAATATGAAATATTAAATATTGAAAATATTTGATTCGTATAAATAAATAAATAAATAATTTACAGATTTTTGTTACTGTTCGATGGATGATTTTCAAGATGACAAATGATACGTAATCAAGAGCTACAAAAATTTATGAAAATTTTGTAGGTTTCTTGACTCGTTGTTCCTCGACAACATAACTTTTAAATAATTTTAAATAATCCTTCCAAGAATCATTGGAGATCAGAGCTTTTTTAATCCGACAGCCAAAACCTTCACAGCTTTCTTCCTGTTGTGTATTTTTCTTCTCGTGTTTATCAATGGAACTCATCACCAACGATGTCAGAACATTAAGACGGTCCAATGTTGAATTTGCTACAATTAAAATATAATTTATGAAAATCTTAAGATACCAAAAAATAATTTGTACAATACATTGCCAATAAGAAATAAATTTTACTCACATGAATTAACGCCACTACGTTCCTCGTCGTCATTCTCCGTTTTCTTCTTGATAATTTCCAATTTCGGAATGAAGAGGAGCAGACAGATCAACGCGATGAATTTAACGATCATCTTGAATATAACGAGTTTCAGAAGAATTTTCGCGATTGTGAAGGCATTGAGTTTCAGTGCAAGCGGCCAGCTGAAATCTATAGACGGAAAAGACGGGAGTTGTGGTATATTCGGCAGAGCATACGGGGCACCGTAAACCGGAGCTGGATAACCTGAAAAAATAAGACACCGTATACCTCAATTTATTAACAAAATTTTATTAAAAAAAAAAAAAAAATGTAATATTTTTTTTACCAAAGCAAGAGAAATTCTTGTCAACACATACGATGAATAATTATTTTAAAATCCCATAAGATTAAAAAATTCAATACGATACCTCTTGGCTCACCTTGCTGTGGTTGCTGGGGCAAATAGTTGCTTGGCGCCCCATAAGAATTCTGAGGTACTGGAGGACCATAACCAGGATTGGGTGCCCCGTAAGAAGTTTGAGGTAGTCCGTAATTCTGGTTGTTGAAATTGACCGAAGATTGAACAGGCAGCGAGTACGAGTCACTAGGGGTTGGTAAAAAGGGTGGCTGACTTGGACCGACAGGACCAGGAACCCCATAAGAAATACTTGGATCCTTGGGGCTATAAGATGCTGCAGAATCCTGTGGTGGTAGATAGCTACCCGTCGGTGGACCGTAAGATAGGTCGTTTGATGATTCATAGGATACTCTGTCAGGATCCTTTGATGATCCTTCCGGTTTGTAAATTGGTCCTTGGACAAATTCACGTCGAATGATTCTTGAAGTCTTTGGTCGGGTATCCACCTTGACTATTCCTTCGTTAGGATCTTTACTCGTATGGGAATGTTCCAGGGCATCGAGATAACTGTCTTTGATACTGGACTTGATACTATGGAAACCTCTTTCTTCTGCCATAGTTGGTACGATTGGTTTATCAGTTTTTTCATTGGATTTTGATTGATCGATGTTGTTTGACTTCATCTGGTTCAAATCTAGATCGACTGGTTCTGATCTTGTTTCCATTGGCAAGGTTGAGTCTTCCGAAGAATCTTTGTGATTTGCGGGTGTTGAGGATGTTACGATGTTGATACAAACAAAAATCAGACAGCACATCCGCCATTTTTGGTCCTCTGATGTCATTGTGATAGATTCACTTTTGGGTCCTGTATTCAAAGAAATTTTGTTGCGGGTATTAATTTTGTTGTTGTTTCGCGATATTTCGTATACAACAAGGATTGTGCACAAAATTTCATACAACAACGATAAGGAAGTTTGTTCTTTGATTGTTTTTTATGTCATTAGGGTAATGGCAACATTTCATCGTTACGTGGAAACAATTTCAATCATGATTTTCTCCTCAGGATTCGAAACGCATAAGACGTTGTGAATGACAATTAGATAGCGGATACCGCCCTTTTTTAGAGTTGCTTCGAAACAGCGCAGTCAATGACATTTTAAAAATTCATTTGGGTGCATTGCTTCGAAATAATTATGTAAAAGCTGTCATTTTCTAACGTTTACTGGAAACTATCATTAGGGTCATTGTGAATTTAAAAAAAAAAATTCGTTTTTACAATCATTTCATCATGACCACGCGTTGATCCGATACTAAATTGACACCATCAACATTTTTGTTAAATATCTCAAAATGCCACGAAATAAAAATTATTGTGTTGAACATCAAAAAAATCTTTAAAAATCGATATAATAAATAAATTCCACGTAATTATTATTTTTATCACAATAACATTTTCTTTTCAAAATTTGCATCGATATACTTTTGTATAAATATCGATAAGTTCACAAATCACTGATTATCAGAAGAGCCCTAAGATATAAGTGATAATTTTACGAATTGAAAAAAATTTTCAATTGTCATTGACTGTAACACAAATTTATTTTTCATTCACATCAGAGAACGTAATAATCTTATTGAAACAAAAAATAAACATCTGCAATTAAAATATCTCACCGTTGCACTAATTTTGTATAAGTATGAGAATCACTGACACAGTAGCAACAATAATTATTGCGAATCACTAAAACTCGCTACCATTACACGTCGTTTGATAATCGTTCGAGAAATAAAAAAAATGTCACCGTCACATCGGCTATATATGCGGGATGGTTTGGGAGGACAAGGAAGGGGTCGAATTTACTGGGTTAGCGTTTCACTGTGTCCCAAAAAAGGAGCAACGCTTTAGATTCAGGATTCTCAGGAAAATCCGGCTGCCATTGAGACTGTCAAAAATTTCAAAAAAAAAAAACTATTAAAATTGTGCAATCTAACGGTAAGGTGCTTGTATCAGGACGAGTGACAGTTTGTGATATTAAAAATAATTGTGCAACTATCATCATGCTTATAATATATATCTATAATGCACGTCTAATTATCGAAAAAGTATCAAAAGTCCAAGAGGCTTGTTTAAAATTCGTTCACAAGATTTGTGATGTTGTTGCACATGCGATCGAAGACAAAGAATCTCAATATAAAACGAAGGCGTAGTCCATTACTATGTATTGACAGTGCTTGCGATAACGGTACCATTCGTCGATCCAATGACACACTTACCTCCATAAATCAAATTCTTACCATTTCCTACATTTGCACGTTGTTCGTGATGACTCATACGATAATTGATCGACAATTAAAAATAAATGGGATAATTAAAGTAAAGAATAAAATTGAAATTTTTTCAACGATTAAGCGTGCTCTGGATACGATATGATTTTTGTATAGAAATATATTTGATAACTGTATATCTGCAATGCCCGCATATATCATCAAAATTAATGACCGGCAACTAGTTAGAACCGTTAGAATATTAGAATAGTGTCAGTGCGCTTTTTAGTCGTTAGAAATTGTCACTGCAGTTGACGCGAGCTATGCTCTTTGCTTGAATTCTTGTTTTTCGAGTTATCAAATTGTGTCAGCCAGGTGCTTCGTGATGGTTTCGACCTGATTTCTATCAGACTGTCACTTTCGATCATTTTTAATACCACGGTGATGAGTGATTTTTCATTTCGTTTCATTCACCCTATATTGCTTTGTGCTATAGTCGGTGATATACAGTCAGTTGGATGTATCGCACTTTCGATCAAACAATATTAAGTCAGTCGTTGTTTCCAAGCAACGACAATTCCAATTGATATGGGAGTTTGTACGGTGCTTCGGTTGTATTTAGTAGTAAGAAAGTTTCCTTTGAGTGACAATGATTTTTTAAAGAAATTTCTCAAGCTTGCGATTGAGAAATAATTATTTTGAAAATATAATAAAACCAAAAGTGATGTATTTTTCTGAAGTTGAAACAAAGTACGGGTGACCTAAAAAACTTTTATAAATTTTTGACAGTGATGCTGATCGAGATAAAATATTTTTGTGCTTCTCTCTTTCAGATGGATCAAATTTGGAAATATTTCAAATATCGTTTTTCTAAGCAGAGATACTGTAGCTTTGGCTGGGGGAGTTCATGTTTATTTTTTGAATTTAAATACAAAAGACGAAAGAATCGAGACGTTTGACAGTAAAGATAAGGGTGAAGGTGCATCATGTTTATCTGGACACCCAGTATGGAATTTAAAAGTCTGAATAAAAAAATGATTAATTTAAAAAAAGTAGAGCTAAGATAACAATTTTCAGATTGTTCCGATGTTTGCTATAGCCGAAAAATGTTCTAATCCAAGAATTTTGATTTTCACTTATCCGGGAATACGACGAATATCGACGTGTATTTTGAAAAGTGGTTTGTCTCACTATTCATCCACCTCTTTTGCTGGCACGGAATTTCTCTTGAGCCTGACGTCATTTCCGGATTTTCAATTAATCATATGGCAATGGAGAACCGGAGAAAAGTTGTCTGTCATCAATACAAAGTTGAACGATGACTTTCAAGAACTCAGGTACGTTCGTTAAATATATATATTTTTTCAACTACTTATTCACCACATTAATTTACTCCTTGCAGATGCTCCCCTATCGCGCCGTACTTGGTATCGCAATTTGGAAAAACGACTGGAAAATTATTGATTTACGATATACACGTTTGTTCGAAAATCATAAATTTAGTACCTGTCGACATCGAATCTTCGGACAACAAAATTGTATCAACAAGATGGAATCACGAGGGAAATCTTGTATCTTGTACAGCAACAGGAGGCGTGCTGTTGTTTAATATCGAAACAAAAAAACAATACATTATACACGAAACAAGAAAGCAGCAAAACTTTCAAGAACAAGAACAAGTCCCTATAGCCGTTCCATATCAAAATGGAATTATCTTCGTAGATTCTGAATCAAACATGACGGTAAAAAAAATCATTGTACCAAAATTGTTTCTATTGCACAAATTTTAAAATTCTAATCTATACTTTGACAGCGTAGTATTTCATAATATACCTATACCTATAGTTTGGCTCAAGAGCAAACAATTTTTCTGAACAAAGAACCAATTACAATTTTCAATGGTAGATTTATTTGTTAACACATTGCTTCTGTCACAAGGACACATGTTCTTAGCATGTAACCACATACTTACATGCGCTCATGCAGCGTACCTGAATCATGCGTGGAATTAAAGAAATTACCAGCCTATGACAGTTTGACGCATGCGCAGACTCATTGTACACCAGTTCAGCGTATTTGTACATCGTGAAAACATTCCTCGGGCGCAAATTCAGACGTGCTTCGTTAGTACTTGAGTTACGCTTATCAATTAAATCAATTAGAAATAAAAATTAACGAACGAATGATTTTTCTCAAAATTGAAAATCACAATTGAACGATTTACCAAAGTTTTACAGGAAGTCGACAGAACTTCACGATACAAAATGGGTAGCAACGTGGACCATAAAGTTGGATTCGCATCCGCTCCTGATGGCTAGTCATCCTAGCAGAGATGGAATTGTATTTTTTGGAAACAAGGGAGATCTCTTCGAAATTATTATTCCTGACGATACCGTAGCAAAAATCGATTTTAAATCGAATCAAGGAACAAATTTTAATATTCTCACTCGATTTAATTTCAATGATCAATATGTAATAGCTATTGATCAATTCGGTCGATTGAATGTGATCGAAGTGTCATCCGGCTATGTGATTGGGAAGATTGATTTGAATGATTTTGGTACAGGTAAATTACACGACTTGACCTCTTTTTTTATCGATCAATTGTGACGTCATTCTTTTAATTAGTTCTCGAAATTACTTCGCATCCACATTTACCGATAATGGCATTGTGCACTTCGAGTGGGATATGTTTGTTTCTTGATATTTTGCGACCAGCCGAACCAGATATTTTGACATCGTTTTATCTGAACAAAGAAGCTTTGAATAAAATAAAATTCTCTGACACCGGAAATATTTTGGCAATTACCAATTGCTATACAGGCAATACGTTTTTCATTGGTGAGAACGATGATCAACGTTACGACGTATTGTGTCATATTGAAATTGGTGCGCAGGTAAGCACAAATGAAATTTAATAATAAATTTATAACGCACGTCGAACTAACATTGATTTATTACAGATCGTCGATTTTTTAATTTATACCATTTCCGAAGGCTGGAAAATTCTTTTTCTCATTCGTACCAAAAGCTGCGCCTTGATCGGTGACAAAATTTTGGTTTACACGATAAAGTCATTTCGATGGTCATACGAGCGAGAGGATTATGTAATCGAATTATTAAATTTGTTTCAATCGCTTCATCATGGAATAAATAATCATTTGGAAGTTATCGGTTCACCGTATCTATCGAAGCAGTTGCACGTGATGGAAATTCAGGTGAAACCGTAATTTTTTTATGTTTAAAAAAATGTCTTCTTTAAATTTATTTTTACTCTTTTAGAATGATTTTCGAAATGTCACTCTCACTCGTGCAGTATCTTCTGGTCATCAATTGAGAAATATAGGATTGATCAGTGATCGATTTTATATCGTCACTGTTGGTTATGACGGTTTAGTCATTGTTAGAGACGGATTTGGTATAACAAAAATTTTGACTATATGCAAGCCGTATCATAGATGTGATTTTGGTGCAAAAACAGCAACAATTCCTCAGAATGGAGAAATCATTGTTTGTCTAGGCAGAAATGGAAATATTGTTGCGATGAAAATTTTGTAGGTAACTTTGTTACGATTAATAATTTATACAGTTTTTTTAATACTTTCAAGGTCAATTATTATATTGGTGTCTTATACAATTGTATCATTGTTCCAGTTACAGTCATTGCGAGTCCCACCAGAAACGTTTGACACGTACAAAAATCGATTTGGCTCAAATACAAGAACGAATGGCTAGATTTCGTACAAAAATCAGCGAACCAAATCTTGAGACCGAAAAAGCTTGGATCGAACTTGACGAACTTGCAAAATTGAAAAACGATATCGAAGTATCCATGCCATTAAAAGTTTCTATACTAAAAGATTTCGAAAAAATAAAAAAACAGGTATTATCATCACCTAAGTCAACAACACTGAAAAATCATTCTATAATTTTCAAAGTTGACGATACAAAAGTTCTAAATTACTTGTACAAGAAACAATATCAACAAAAAATTCTAGGTGGCAGATTTACTTGATGCAAATGAAATAGAAAATGACGAAGCTCGACTTCCAATTTCAGCTTTTGATTTGGACGAAACAGAGCGAAGTTTGAAGATCGCGAAAGCGCAGGAAGATCGAGAACAGTGGAGAATAAAAATCGAAACCCAAATTTTACGTCAGGACGAGGTAGCAGCGTACTTGAAAAAACATTGCTGGGATACAATGTCGGTCCGCGCATGCGCGTTATTGTCATTTCGCAAAGGAGTCCAGGTTAATAATTACGCTTTGCCGGTAATAACAAATGAAAAGAATGATATAAAAATTTGGCAAGAATTTCTCCTTCAATTGTCCACGTACTAGTAAGATTGTTTTTGTTTCTCTCGTTAAATACAATGCAGTCATCCACCGACTTACGTCGTCTCCAGTCACGTCGTTTCGCACTTACGTATGCACGTTGTTGAACGTGGTCTGATTTTTGTTCTCCCCACCAACTCTCTATTATCACGTGCAAGCATTTGTCAATAAGTGCTGAGCTTAAGTCGTTTCGATTTACGTCGTCTATCGCAGAACCAATTACGACGTAACCACGGGGGTACGACTGTGGTTAGGAATCAACGTGTTTGTCACTAGATTGAATTTAATGCCACTTTCTAGCCTCGACGCCGATTTGTTTTCAAGACGATCAAATACTGCGAGAAATTCTCATAGCTTTGATACGGATACGAACAATTTGGATATGAAAAATTTAAATTCGTCAATACAAGCGAATCTGTCGAACAAAAATGATTGCAGTACCGAAACAACTGAATCAAACATTGTACGGGTGTATCGTACAAAAGCAAAAGAACAAGATGAGCTTGAATGCGAAGAACAATTGGCTCTGATTGGTACAACATCCAATAGATGGATCCCGAGTAGCAAGTTTTGTTATACGCCTAAGGAATTGAGGTATCACAATTGTTCGATCGGTAATGTAGAAGCCGTTGTTGTGGATAATCAAAAACAAAATTTAAAGGTACGTAGTAAATTCGGATTATATACTTTAGTTAGCACGTGCTAACTGATACGGTATAAAGTAACTGTAAAATTTTGAATAAGAAAATTTGTTCAGCTTCATTTGAACAAATTGTTCGATACAATGAGGTCTGCGAAATACGAAAAAATGTTGTCGATCTCTCAACGCATGGAAAGACTGTGTTATTGTGCAAAAGAACTGAAGGATATGTTCGGATTAAATTATCCGGTGTATAAAATAGCCGAGACCAAGTGGCATCGTACGGAAGATCCAGTAACAATAATTTCTGTGGAAAATTATGAAATTTCGGAAAAGCCATATGTCTCGCCGAGAACAAAAGTTAAACAAGAAGCAGCCATCCGAGAAAAAGACAAAAACAAAGTTATTGAATTGGAGGATTATTTATTCCTGAACGAAGCGTTGCAAGTTATGATGGACGGAGTGCTTGAAGTAAAGTAAGAAAAAGACAAAGTATTTCAAATCTCTTATTAAACTTTATCTCATAATTTCACAATACCAAAAAGTTTCTTGATATACCATCGTATCGGATTTATATATAATAATTAATTAATTTTTAAGTTAGCAAAAAAAAATTACGCACTCGACAAACATTTATTTTACTTCCACTTTAAGGTGGGAAGACGAAATAAAAAAAAATATTCCAAAGCCTGATTGTCTGCTACACAAGAATCCTGATAAATACACAGAGGACGACGTCGCGTGTATAAAAGCGTACGAAGAAAAAGTTAAGACTTTGGAAGCTGAACGAGAAAAGTACAAAAATTATTTAGAAGCAGAATTCGAAAAAATAAAAGGTATAATTAAATTGTTCAAAACGTCAATTAACATTACGACTTATTCCTCCGCACCGAGACCTGCTGAGGTTGCAGACTGGGCTAAGAGAGAATCGGCCAAGGATATTTCTCGGCCACGCCGGAAATATGTGTCACGTCACATGTGTCTTCTACTCAGGGACTATTATAGTCTAACCTCGGTAGCCTCCCAAAGGACCCAACTGTCACGTGACTCCCATTCGGGTATCGACGCTCGCAAAATTTATAAATAAACCCATCTACCGGGTACTTACCGAAAACTTGGCTATCCCATTATCCATTTAAAATCCAAAAGTCGCTGGGGTGTGAATCCGTGGCGTGATCCAGCAGTGTCACTTCCTGCCTCCACAAGGGTATCCAGCGGACACGTAATGATTCACAAGCTGCGTCAAACTGTCGCACTGCACTACTATTTTACAATATTGTATCGCAAATTCCGAAAAGCAAAATTGCGATTATTTCTGATAGCTCCGCTATCACCCGACCCCGAAATAAGATTATAAAGGTCGATGAGCCGAATTTGGCCAAAGTGATTTTCGGGAATCCTCTACCACTGCCCATCCAAAATAATCCCCTCTCCACCCGCCCCCCCCCCCCCCC